AATTTTAGACACACAGAGGAACACATTGGCTCCAAGGCACTTCCTCTGGTTTAGGAAGGCAAGGCCCTGGATAAGAATGACAAGACGATCATTCCAAAAGGTGAGATTATGAAATATTTGATCTGTACCTCACCAGCTAGCTTATTAAGTAGTTTAGTATTGGGAATATTTTAAACAGATGGAAATACATAGTGTGGTAGTTTCTCATTATTTTTTTTCCAGTTGACCACCAGTGGGTTTGCCTTCCTGAGGCCTTTTTAAAATCACAGAATATAGGCAGGGTTGTTTTTGCTTCTTTATAGAATATTAACTCTGTGGCATGGTCATGAAGCATAATAATATGATGAGAAAAACAGACCAAGAATGAATATGCTTGTAGGAAGTGTCAATATACACACTATGGAAGCCCAGAAGGGTCTTAGCTGGCCTGGTTTCTGAGTAAAAAATTAAATTATTTTTGTGAATAATTATAATAAATTTCTATTGAGGCTTTTTCATCACTTATAGCAAAAGATGGATGCTTTGTATTCAGATAGAAAAATTCCTTTAAGTTCATTTAAATCAGATGATAAAAGGAACTCTAGAATTGGAAATTTGCTTCTGCAAAAGAAATCATAGAATCTTGAGGTTGGAAAGTCTTTAGAACTTACCTGAGACCATCACCCATCTGGCTCTTAAATGAACACATAACTTCTAAGGAAGCTTCTAAATCTAAAATGAAATGATTTCTATGAAATAGTAGTGATATAGACGAGGAAGTCCTAACACTGCCTTGTGCTGAGAACATTATATTATTGTCATAAATTATCATAATTTTACACTTCTGTTGTCTCTATGGGAATAGCTTGTTTTCAAATGAAAATTTACCTAAAATATTTATATTTCTACTAGAGTTGTTTGATAGGTTTGCTGATTGTTTGCTTAAACTCTTTTAGAAAACTTACGAATATTTGGAACACAAAATGATACCTCCTTTTCATTAATTCTATTACAGTAGATGGATCATCAGTTACAGTATGTGTGGCCTCTAATGCCAAACTCTAATCCAGTTACAGTTGTGTGGTCTCTAATGACAAACAGCTGGGTTTATATCCACATCTCCACCACTCATTATTATGTGCAGGTTTGGGCAAATTACCTAACAACTCTGTGCCTCAGTTTCCTTATCTGTAAAATAGGGGAAAGTGTATCATAGAAATTAAACATCATAATCAACTAAAGTACTTAGTGTAATGCGTGTCACAGGTAAATATTCAATACATGTTACTTATAATAGCTATCAAATTCAACAAAACAAATATTTATTGAGGATGTGCTGCGGGCTTAACTCTCTGCCAAACTTTGGAAGGGGAGGGAGTGATTTGTGTTGTTTCTGGAGAAGTCTAGAATGCATTGTTTAAAAGCAGCAAACTCCCTGAGGGCATGGATCCTACTGTCTTGTGTCTCGCACTATGCCTGGAACATAGCAGACACTGAACACATATTTTTGAATGAATGAATAGGATGGTCTGAAAATCCTTAGGGGAAAAAAAATAATAATCACTGAGAACTGGTGGGTCAGTGTTTCTCCTTTGTCTTTCTGATTCAGTCGAGAAGGCAAATGTAGTAGACATTATGCATCTGTATTTCAACAAAGTATTTGACAGTATTTCTTGATGATGGTCTTGTTATCAAAAAGGAGACATTAATACTAGATGGTGATGTATTTTGGAGGATTTGTAACTGGATAAACAGCTTTTCTTGAAGGGTGCTAAATAATAGATCAGTGTCAACCTGAAGTCCTCTCTGTCCTGTGCCAATTTCTGTTCAACATGTGTCATTATTAATAGTGCAGATGGACATATAGAAGGCATGCAAACAGATGTACAAATAGAACAATACTTGCAGGGATAGAAATGCATTAGATCTTAGCAGACTGGAATAAAAGTCAAATCATTGAAAAAAAGAAAAAAAAAATAAAAAAAAAAAAAAAAAAAAAAAGAAAGAAAGAAATGTAATAGCGTTAAATACAGAGTCCTGCACAGAATTTCCCAGCAATGATGTGAGAAAAAAACATGAGATGTAAGATTTGGGCCAATAGGGGTCCAAATCAACTGTCTAACATGATAGCCTCCAAATTAATCTGGGCTTAGGTTAAATTAACCAATCTATAGTGTCTAGGAAAAAGGAGATGGTCATCCCTGCTTAATACTGTGTTGTTGATCTGACTACAGCTATTGTGCTGCCATCAGAGCCCGTGGTCCAGAGCCACTTTTAGAAGGAAATGGAGAAATGAGTGTGTGTACAAGCAATCAAGATGGCGGAGGGAGGTGAACCCACGGCACAGGAAGAAAAGTTGTCCAGCCTCAGGAGGAGAAGGCTCACTGGAGACTTAACAGCCTTCCTGGGGAATGATTTAAGGGCTCTCATGTAGCAGAGGAACAACAGTTTATCAGTGTGACTCTGGGGAATAGAACTAAGATCATAGAATAGTGATTTGAAGAGATGGATTCAACTTAAATGTTTTTTTCCTAACTGTTAAAGCTGACCGAAGGGCTCTGTGGGGATATAGTAAGCTTCCTGCCACTTTGGTGTTGAGGGCTAAGACTAGACAATTACTTGTTCGCCATGTTGTAAATGGAATTTACAGGTAGAGCTATCTGATGGTCAACTCTGAAGTCTGGTGATTCTAGAGAAAAGGAAGAAGAAGGAAATAATGAATATGTCAGAGTGTCTGTTCAAGGGTGAGGAATTGAGCTAAAATTGCCCAACAACCCCTAGAATTCTCATTCCTCATTCCAGAGGAGTTCAACCACAGAATGATAACAGGTAACGTTTGTTGACTACTCACATCAGACATAGTTAATGCAGTGGCTAATCCAGAGGGCAAGTTTTGAACAAAGTTTCAATTGCTACATCCAACTTTTTCCCCAAAAAAGATATCAACGGCTTGTATATGATGTCAAAATAAACTATGAAGAAATGCAATGACTCATTATTGTTTGAGCTTTGAATGGGAAAAGATTTGACTTGAGCCCCAGGCAGAACTTCTGTCATGTCAAATGAACCTGTATATACAGTAGTATACACATATATAGTATATACAAATATAGAGTAGTATACATATACATGTATAGTACATAATAATACTTTTATTGAGGTCTAGAGACATTTCATTTTTATTGTTATTGTAGTTAATTAATATAGTCAAAACATTTTTTACTTACCCTAAACTCACTTGTGTAAACTACATGTAGCTATTTTATTGTAACCGGCCTTACTTTCTTCAAAAGCTGCCACTCACTAATTAGAGGAAAATGGAATTTTGGTCTCATGCAGACAAATAGAATAACTTAGGTAACAAACCCTGTGCTTGGATGATTCAGGTAAAGGGATCAGTCTTTCAGACTGCTGTTCTTTCCCAAGCCAAGGAAATCCCTCTACCAGATTTCACCTGCTTTACTATAAACTTTGCAAATTTCTCTCTTCTCAAAGTCACCAAGGTCCCTGGACTGCCAGGAAGTGACCTATCTCACCACCTGTAAGGTTCAGCCTATGAGCCAGATGCCGGGCCAGTTTTCTCGAAGGCTTTATAAGCTTTGGTTGCATAAAGTCAGTTTTAGTTCCTTCCAAGTGGCCAGTCATATCTGATTAGGTGAATATCATTCTCATGTGTGACACTTTATCTATGGCAGTAAATATTCTTCAAGGATATTAATTTTAATAACTGTATGGTTTTCTATTGCTTAGATATGCAATAATGTCTTATCCAAATTTCTTTTATGTTGGACACTTTATTATTTCTACTGTTTTGGCAGCTAAATACAGCTGAGATGACATTTCACATACAGTTTTTTTGTCCACATCTCTGATCATTACTAGAAGATAGATTTCTAGAATTAGAATTATAAACAAATGGTTGGACTTTGAAAAAAAATGTATTATCATTCTTGCCTGTGATAAGGCCACTATTAATAAGTTGCCTTTTCATGGATCGTGCTTGCTCTGTTCTTTTCTATTCTACATTTATATTCCTCTAGAAACCCACCTACTAATGAACTTAGATCTCCTTCCTGTTTTTTGCATCATTTTCACAAACTAGCACACATCTTTCTATATCTCTGTTGTAATTGAATTTGACATGGAAATCAACAGTATAGAGTAAAATATCTAATGTTGTAATATGAAAGTAGAGATAAGAAAAACTAGCGTGACAGGTCTTATCACTGGCTATTTACCTAGAAACTAAGCTTCAGTTAAACTGGAAGTGAACTTGCAAAAACACAGGACGTAAAAACATAAGGTGAATCTATTAATTTGCTAATTTTAAGAGTAGTGTATATTTGATTATTCAATTATTTATTCAGCCAACAGTTAGTGAATTCTTATCACATACCAGATATCATACTTAGATAGTATTGGTCTAGAAAGGAATATGTCCATTTTTCTTAGATCTCTTCTAAAATATCAGATTGTGTCTTTTTGAGTCGACATAAAAGTAGCATTCGTCTTCTGGACTAAGTGTGTATGTGCACTTGTGCATGTGCAATTCATCAGCAGGGCATGTCGTGCTAAGGAGGAAGGAGAACAAGGAGAATTGGTCCAGTTCTCCCTGTCATTTACAGGATTACACCATGCAGAGGGAATTGCTGTAACTTATTACTTATAAAGTTACCTGTGTCAGTGGGGTGAACCCAATTCTGACAGAGAGTTTTAGTTCTCTCTGAAATCTCTTGGGGATTGATTGACTCGCTGAAATCAGTCCCATGAAGCTGTTGATCTGATTTGCCACTTTGTGCTAGAGGGTTCCGAAGAAAGCAAAAGTGTGCAGCCACCAATAAATACCAAAGTTATGACAAAATTTTATTTATACTGATGTCAATTTATCTTTAAAATTGCACATATAAATGGTCAAAATGCAGGAAAATAAAAATGAACATTCTTTTGAATGTAATAACTGTATTTTCTTGACAAAACCAAAAAGTAAAAATCCTCTTTAACTATTGCCTTTCCTCTGATAGGACAAATCCTGATGATTCTCTCTGGGACCTCCAGTAAATGAACACATCACTCGAAAACCATAGCAGTTTCAAGGTGAGAGAAAATTGCCTCAGGGTCTCAGGGTTCCCCATTTCACACAGCAGTACCTTCGGGATTGGATTTGAGCTGACTGTGTATAAAACTGTGAAGAAATCTAAATTTTGCTATATTTCCTTTTTCTTATTCCCTCTTATTACCATCCACTAGACTTGGTCTTAGACCCTCTGCCATCTTGTGCACTCTCATGCTCCCCTCAGTAACTATTCTAAGAGATCCTAGTTCTGCACTGGGGACCAGTATAGTGTTGTTGACATTTTAAAAGGGACACTGGAAGACGGAACAATAAGCCGTAAAGGACAGAGTCTTTCACTGATGCAACCGAATGACACTGAGGTGACAGATGCTGGGGGCAGGGTGATATTTATGGACACAAAGCCCTTCCTTGCATGGAAGTGAATTGTACACTCTGGGAACTGTTACAACCAGCCCTGTTTAGAACCCACAAACTTATCAACAGTACAGTGTTAGCATGGAAAATGGATTGGAGCTAGTTTAGAGAATCCGATGCAAAGAGGTATCATGTACCCATGTTCATTCCTGCAGCTTACCTCACAACACTATCCTAACCTCCTGGTCACTTCAGTCGGGCACCGCCTGGCATGCTGATCCACTTTTTAAGGACAGTAATGTTTAGACTCCATGTCGCAAAGTACAGAATGAAGGCAAGTGTAGGACGCCCCAGACCACCCTAAGCAGCACAAAGCCTTATTGCAGGGAGCCAAAGATAAAGATTTATGTGTCTCTGGAAGCTGTTTTTTTTATTTTTGGAAGTTATTGTCATTAAGAGCTGGCTGTTAAGAGCAAGATCAAAGTGTTGTGTTGTTTTTGTGTGTGGGGGGGGGGGGGGGGGTTGTTTTCCTGCAGCTTTGAAAAGACTTTAAAAATGAAGGTACCTGTGATCTGTCCAGACTCTACTTATTAGCTCTGTGACTCAATAATGTATGGCTATTATTATAATCACCATTGTTATTATTATCAAAGATTTTCTAAAAAAATTTTTTTAATGTTTATTTATTTTTTAGAGAGAGAGAGAGACACAGCATGAGCAGGGGAGGGGCAGAGGGAGGGAGACACAGATCCAAAGCAGGCTCCAGGCTCTGAGTTGTCCACACAGATCCCAACACTGGGCTTGAACTCACAAACCATGAGATCATGACCTGGGTGGAAGTCAGACGCTTAACTGACTGAGCCACCCAGGTGCCTCCTACCAAAAATTTTCAAAAACTTACATGACCACCAAATTTCCCTTTTCCCACTATCTAAATCTAGGATTTTACTAGGCTTGCCTGTAAAGTAAACTAATAATTACTGATATCTGAATAATACATTTAGCACTTGAAAATCCTAAATTTGATTGTTTGGGGGAGGGTATGGGAAAGGGCTTTAGAGGTCCCATGAATTCTTCAAAATTTTATGCAGAATTTTGAGTGGGCATGCATCCCTCTGGAGAGAGAATCCATTGCTTTTCATCAAATGTGTTCTTGACCTTAAGGAAGGTTAACCAGCGCTCTACTTTTTTTTTGTTTAAATATTTTTAAGTTGAGTGTAGTTGACACACAATGTTACATTATTTTCAGGTGTACAACATAGTGACTCAACAACTCTATGTTATGCTATGCTGTCCACAAGTGTAGCTACTGTGTGTCACCATACAACACTATTGCAATGTCATTGGCTGTATTTTCTACGCTGTGCCTTTATTCCCATGACTTATTCCTTAACTGGAAGCCTGCAACTCCTTCTTCAATCCCCCCCTGCCGCCGCCTTTTTCTCCTCCCCCTCTGGCAACCATCAGTTTGTTCTCTGTATTTGTAAGCCTGATTCTGCTTTTTGTTTGTTTATGCATTTGTTTTTTTTAGATTCCACATATGAGTGAAATCGTGGTATTTGACTTTCTCAGTCTGACTTATTTCACTTAGCATAATAGCTTCTAGGTCCATCCATGTTGTGGCAAATGGCGCGATCTCATTTTGTGTGTGTGTGGCTGTGTAATATTCCATTATACATATCCATTCATCTATCCATTCTTCTTTATCCATTCATCCATCAATGGTTAACTTGTGCTTTAAATGAAAAGGCTAATTTCCCAACATACTTGCTCCAATTAGTTTGTAAGCAGCTACGTATGGGAAATAAATCTCACTAGAGGGCTTCTCCAGAACAAGACCGGGAAACCATTATTTAGGAAGCGTCAGTTAATTTCTCTAGACTGAGAAGTAGAGCACTTGTGAATAGGTCTTAAAGGATGTCGAAATATTGTTCGGCTTTTCCTCAGATTCCTGGCTGGTGCTTTATTTAAATAATCTTAAATAAAGGCGGGCAATTGAATCCTGGTCATTTTAAATTTGAGATACACATAAATAACTCTTCTCTTTGCTCTTCTCATTGCATCATGATGTCTCTAGATCTATTCCAATCGTGCTCTTTGATGATCTCTATGACACTTTAGTGTACTTGCACACAGATCTTTATTTCGTCTTGGGCTTTTAGGAAAAGGTTGGAGACAGCTTGTGTAAGACGGGTTGTTCCCTGTGGTAGGGGTTTCTTCACTGTTTCTACCCTAGGCTTATTATGGATACAAAACAGTTAAGAGTCTTAGGTACCCTTCTTCTGGATGGCAGTTAAAATGACATTAAAAAATAAAAAGCGAAACTTTCCACAGATCAACTCAGTTCTTTAAGGAGTCTATGGTATCTCAGGTACTGGAAGTCCAAATTTCAAGCAGGGTTAGAACTGAGCTGGTGATTTAAATAGGTAAAAGGCTCTGGATCTCATTACTAATCCCAAAGCCATGCAATCCCCCTATCGCCACAGTGATACCAGTGAGAGAGGCAGCAGGCAATACCACAGGTTGAACTTCATGATCTAATCGTGCCGTCTGAAGGACTCCGTGTGTGTCTGCTGGTAATGAGTCAACAACTTTTTTTCCACTGAGAACAGCCATTTGCTGTAGTTGACTAGCAGTGGAAGTAGAGAGAAAAGACAGAAAAGGAAAAAGAAAGTAAGTAAGATATTTTCTTCCCTCAGAAAACTAATAACCCAAGTGAGAATACGGAACACAAATACGTGAAAAATTTGCCAGGCAAATACAGAAGGAGTGGAAATCCAGATACTGGAAAAATATTATAGAAGAGGAGATATTCGCAGATAAGGAAGGCCAGAGGGGAACTGGAGAATTTCAGCAAGGCTTCCATAGGAGGGACGTCTTGAGCCAGGCCTGACATAGTGTATGGGGCATGTGCATGGAAGAGCCGCAGGGGCTTGCGAATGAAGAAGGAGAAGATGTGGAAGCAGAGGTGAGAAGAATGAAGCCAAACACAGAGAGGGCAATCAGATTTGTCTCAGTGGGCAAAAATCTCCATCCCTGAGTACAATGGTTAGTTTTAAAAGCAGGGCCTAGCTTATGTTAGGGTTTTTTTTTTTTTTTTTTTTTTTTTATTAACTAATTCATTCATTCTTTCATTCACACAGTTATAGAGACCACGGACCTTGAGATGGTGCTTCTCGGGCACTGGAGATACAGGCTAATTCTCTGATCTTATTGGATTACATTCTAGGGGGAGGAGACAGACAATGAACGAATAAGCAATTAATAAAAAGTAAAATACTACTTGAGTGTATTTGGCAAATAAGACCCCTAGAGCGCGTATTGGCTTTTTTTTTTTTAATTTTTTTTTTTTTAACAGCGCATATTGGCTTTTTGAGAAGACTAAGATATCACCGTGTGAGGAAATACACTTACTGGATGTCGTTACTCTCTCACGGGCAGTCTCCCAACATCACTACTATTCTCTCTTTAATGTTCCAAGATGATAGTAAGGGCACTGGTGCAGAACAACAAAAATACAATCAAAATGATGCTATCGAGTTCACATGCAGTATGTCCACAGGTCAGGCACCCTGGCTATCAGTATGTGGAGAAGTTTGAGTTTATCTAAACTTGAGCAATGAGAGGTGGTAATATCAGCTGTGTTTTGAAAATTGCCCAAGGAAAACCATTTTTTTTTCTCCTTGGAAAAACACACAACGATGTAAAGTTTCAAATAGGTAATACGTTTTGTCTCATAAAGTACCACTAATCAAAAATGATTTCATATTGATCATTAAACCTAGTCATAGAACTATTTTTATTTCTACACTTACTAAATTTTCTCTCTCAAGAAGAGAGAGCAACTGGCCCAATAGTAATGAGAGACACTCACTCCTTTAATTTGATATTTTGAAGAAATAAACCAATGAGAAGTAATCTACATTTTTGTGTCTATCTTCGGAGAAGATGGGCCAGTCAATAGCAGTGGCTTGTAATGGACGGAACTATGCAGGAGAATGCATAGGGGCTCCATAAGATGGCTGGTCTCTGCTCTGGGGATGGAATTAAGAGGGTCCTTATTTCAGTTGTTCAAATGATGCTCTGAGACCATAACACTACACGACGTTCCCTGTAAGACCAGCCAGAAAACAAAAATGGGGACCAAACAGTAGCCATGTGAAGGTTCAAGTCAAGAAGCAGGATGGACGTCGTTGCCATAGTATTCTTACCTTGTCTGAAGGAGAGTAATCCAATCCTAAGACCCTTCCACTTTGGGAAAAGTTTGGAAGACTAGCTGCTAAAAGGTATCTCTCCTCATTTACTATCCAAAACACTAAATAATTAGGCACCTTTTTGCTTAACTTCCCTTTGTTAAAAAATGCTCAACTCAATTCAGGAATCCCACAGGCCAAAGCTACTTTGTTGCAAATGAAAAAAAGATGCTGCTTCCTTGGGGCGTGTGTAGCACTCTGCCAGACTGTACAACTCCATTAGGGGAGATTTGGCTGGATTCCCTCAGCCAGGAACACTTGTGTAGTGCACATCCTGCCCAACCGTTTGTGGTGGGTCTGATCTGGTTGAAACAAGAAAGTGCATTAGGAAGAGTTGAAATAGGAATCAATAAATTATGTAAATAAGCCCCAAAGCCTCTCCGTTTTTTTTATTCTTCTTCGAAAGCACGAGTTCATTTTTACTCTGCTTATTGTTTTCCAGGTTAATGCACCTGCTGGAACTGCCCACAACTAAGCCTCCCTTAATAAAGTTGGTCTTTACCATGCCTGTAGAACTGCCATGTAGTAGCAGTTCCAGCATCCCCAACTGAGGCTCCCTAGCTAATTAAGGATGCCCTTCTACCAAGGTATCAGAAAGGGTCTTCCTTTCTGGCCAGGAATGCAGGTAGCACAAGTCCATAGAGTTAGATGTCCCACAGTACCCGGAGAACCCATGTGGTCTATCACCCAGCTGAGCCAGTCAGTAAGGAAGTTCTCCAGATGCCTAAAGCTGTTTTTGTCAGATTAACCCTCTCCTGTCTTATTTAAAAAATTTTTTAATGTTTATTTATTTATGTTTATTTTTGAGAGAGAGAGAGAGAGAGAGAGGTGGGGGGAGGGGCAGAGAGAGAGGAAGACACAGAATCTGAAGCAGGCTCCAAGCTCTGAGCTGTCAGCACAGAGCCCAACGCGGGGCTCGAACTCACAAACCGCAAAATCATGACCTGAGCCCAAGTCAGACACTTAACTGACTGAGCCACCCAGCACCCCATCCCCTGTCTTATTTTAAAGTTCTGGAATTTTAAAACCTGTTCACTTCATATGTGACACTAGACATTAGTTGCTCACGAAGAACAGTGTTTGAAGTTCTCAGTTCCTCTGTTTAAAGTTTCTTTCACATCTTCTCTATCTGCTCTGTTACACTTCTTGCGGATAAGGCAAGGCCACTGCATTTGTGACATTTTGTTCTCTCTACTTTAATTCAACAAATGTTCATTGAGAAGCTTCTCTGGGCCAAGCCCCTTCTAGAGTCGTAAGGGGTGGAGAGATGAGTGAGGTAGAGCCCTTCCCTCAAAGGGAGTGTAGAGTCTGTTAGCAGAATTTGAACACAAAGCCAACTCAAACCTTTACTGATGTGAGAAAAAGAATACATCAGCAAATAAGCAAACACAGCAGGTATAACATTAAAAGGTAAGAATGTGAAAGGCTCCCTGTTCTCTATTCCTGTCTCTGTCTTCCTTCTTCTTGGTCTGAGTTTCTAATGTACTTCTCATGTGCTGTGTAGAGCAGCGTCTTCAGAAAACTGATGGGCTGAAATTAGTGTAAGTCAGAAGCGTCGAAAAAGTGTGTTCTTATTAGCCTAATGGCAGCCATTAATGAAAAGGAAGTCCAAAATCAGAAAATGCAGACACCCAAATGGCAGGTAGTTAAAGGTGTCAAAGGTTAGGATGGGCTTCATATGTAAAACGGATTAAAATGTTGACTGCATTTGTGTTTGTTCAATGAAGAACGGTGAATGCATTTTAATTTTTCATTTTGCATCTTCACATTAACTGTATATACTGTTCTGTGTCGTTTGCTGATAATAAGAAATTGCCTCTTTCAAATTTATATCCAGTCATGGATACTAATGATGACCCCGATGAAGACCATCTTACAAGTTATGATATTCAGCTCAGTATTCAAGAATCCATTGAAGCCAGCAAGTCTGCATTTTCTTCTGAAAGGTAACATTCAAATTGACTATGCTCAACAAAATTTCTTTATGGCATTCATTTTGTTGTCAGATAAAATGACTCTTCCTGACTTCTCCTCTAGGGAAATGCTTACTCTTCTTCTCTGGCAGGGATTCCAATGGCTTTACAAGGGCCACTGTGCATAGGTTTTAGCAGTATGATCTTCCCAAATCCCCACCTCCTGTGGAAGATGGAAATAACCTAAACGGAAAGTTCTTAATTGAATTTGGTTGTATAGGATTGCCTATTTTTTTAAATTAATATAGAATCAAAATATCAGTAAGTAACTTGAACAAATTTGCAAGTACAGTTTATACAACTAAATAGGTTTACAGAGATCTGTTCTGAATATTCCAGAGCCCACTCTGCTACGGACTCAGACAGCCTTCTTAAGTAATGTATTTCATTTTTGGATCTTCAAAATATGAAAAATAATATGGATTAGGCCCTAAGCGTAATGAATGGGAAGAGTCGAGGGCTTTTAGTAAAAACAGCAATATGTAAACCATAGCCTATTTAATTATCTACTTTCCAAATGACAGAAGTTAACAAATTATATACAAAATTGATGTTTATGTTAGCAGGAAGGAGTTATAGAGTCTGAAACTGAAAAAGTAGATTTCTGTCTTGAACAACACACATGGCACTTCTGATGAAAATAAACTTTACGTTTTTTTATAGTACTTAGAATCCTGTATTCTGAAATTTAGTAGTGCTTTCATTTTTTTTAATGTTTATTTATTTTTTTGAGAGAGAAAGACACAGAGCACGAGCAGGGAAGGGGCAGAGACAGAGGGAGACACAGAATCCGAAGCAGGCTCCAGGCTCTGAGCTGTCAGCACAGAGCCCTACATGGGGCTCGAGCCCACGAACCATGAGATCATGACCTGAGCTGAAATTGGACGCTTAACCCACCGAGCCACCCAGACACCCCTAGTAGTGCTTTTGAATAAATTCAGTTCTATAAAATTATTGCTTATGAGCTTCTTAAAAATGGACATGGTACCTTAAAACTGGGTCTCTTTCATTTTTCCCTTATGCCCAACAGAATTCCCAAGAAGGCTTTAACAACCGTAAAATGCTAACAGATGTTTCTGCTTAAAAGAGTTGAATCAATTTGTTATGAAATACCTTGTTTCCTTAGAATAAACACACACCAGACAACTGCCGTGAGGGTTGGGCCAATGACTGGAATTTGTTCAGTAAAACGCTCAACCTCTTTTCACTTGCAGATCCATTGATTAAAGACTCTAACATGCAGTGTTGGATCATAAGCTCCCAATTTAGCAATTATTAATTAGCAATTATTAAGTTCAAAGCACCATTTACTGAGCATAGAATTTTTAAAGTTGGAAAAAGCCTTAGAGATCTTCCTATGTAATCCCATCATTTTAGAGATAAAGAAACCACTACACAGAGACACTAAATCACAAAACCCGAAACTAGCTCTCCTGACCCCGACTACAACTGTTTAATTCTTTATCATTGCTTAGAACTCATTACAGAGACAGTGTTATAATCTTGTATTTTGTCATCTGTACTAATGTGCCTAGGTCTGGTGTATCACAAATATACTGTTCCTGATTCCTGAGCATTTACGTTTTTAAAGGAGACACACTTAAGTTAGCTGGTTATCTCAGTTGGTTAGAGCATGGTACTAATACAGTAGATAAAATCAGTTGTGTGCATTTCCTGTAGATCGTGATAATTAAAATCATGTACAAAAACTCAATATAAGTTAAACGTTTGGGTTTTTTGAAGTACACCACTAGGATAAATATGGCTTATTTTTCTTTCTCTGGTAGGTTTGTACCACTGAGTGATCAAAACAGAAAACTTGTGGAAGCCATAAAACAAGGTAAAATGGGTGTATTGCCTAGAATGGGGCAGGTTGAAGAATTCACGTTGCCAAGACAGAGATTTGTTACCAGCCGGTATGTTTAATTTAGGTCACATTCTTGAGCTCCAGGAATATGTGAAGTATAAACATGCATTGGATGAAGCTGATGAAAAAGGATGGTTTCCATTGCATGAAGCTGTGGTTCAACCCATTCAACAAATACTTGAAGTTGTTCTGGATGGTAAGAGAACATAAAATCTCTTTGACTCAACAGAAGCAAAAGAAGTTATGAGTGATCCCATAACTTCCCATAACATAAAAAGCAAAAAGAAAGAGCAGAATAAAAGATAATTTTGTACATGGGAAAGAGAATACCCATGTTTTACACTCAGAATTAAGAACCAACACATTTTGTGAGCTTCTGTTTTCGCCCTTTGAATCCTTCTATGAATGTGATAAAGTTGGCACAAAGATGTGGTTGTAACCTAAAAGTAATAAAAGCTTGTATATATCATGAATTAATTGATCTAAATATAAAACATTTTGCTTTTGGGAGTCAGCATTTAATTTTTCATCTTGAACTATGTCTTGAGTTAACAGTTTTCAAAAGATCATTATCATGCACAAGTATATTTACAATATTTTGTACTTATATTGCATTAATTTTTTCATGGTGGAAACATGAATCAGTATCACAGTGAATCAACTTCACGGTTAAGTGCATTGACAGAGGGTTAAGTATTAATAATTTTGATGTTCTAACATAATATTTGTCACATCTAGGCAAATTTATTTTATTATTATTCTTTTAATGTTTATTTCTTTGAGAGAGAGAGAGAGAGAGAGAGAGAGAGAGAGCACGAGCAGGGGAGGGGAAGAGAGAGAGCGAGACACAGAATCCAAAGCAGGCTCTAGGCTCTGAGCTGTCAGTACAGCAGGGCTCCAGTTCACAAACTGCGAGATCATGACCTGAGCCAAAGTCAGGTGCTGAACCAACTGAGCCATCCAGGCACCCCTCAGCAACTTTTTAAATGTCTTGTAAGTGCCCTGTCTTTCAACCCTCAAGGGTGCTCCCTCGTTCTGTGCTCTAGGAGGCAATCCTTGCTGCTTGATAATTGACTATCCAGCCAGCCAGCCAGAAGAAAATAGATAGCTCAACGGAGAGACAAATAGATGTAGAAGGTGAAGATAAACATGGTATTTCTTTTCTAACATTTTCTGACAGTATTCAGATACATTCTCATTCTGACATTCACAGATTTTATTTGACAAAAATCAGTTTCAGGTGCAATTTAAATAATAATACAAAGGACCAGGGAGTTATTTTACAATTTATATTTAAAAAAAAAAAGAATATACAATCCACTAAAAAAATAAAAACAACCTTGGAACACAGATGTTGGTTTTCTAGCTGTCGAGTACATGCTCATCTATGTATACTCACCATCATTTGATAAACTTGAATCACATCTTTTAATCTTTCCTTGTCATCAGTTGACTTTGTCTAATCCAAAGTATGTAATGTTGAATTACTCTGATCTTTGTAATATCCTTTAAGATTTTTAACTTTATACAATACTTTCATATCTCAGCATCCTACCAGACACTCTGGGAGTTCAAGACCTCTGAAGGAGAAACACCCTTGACTTTGGCAGTCAAAGCTGGTCTGGTGGAAAATGTAAGAACTTTACTAGAAAAGGGAGTGTGGCCAAACACCAAAAACGACAAAGGAGAGACGCCACTTCTGATTGGTAAATGATCTTCTTTTCTAGAACTTTCATAGTTTGATGAATATTTAATAAGTATTTATTGTAAACCACTATGTGTTGAAGTTATGTGACCTCATCTCCTTCTCTTCCCTGAGCTCCTCCCCTAACACCCATCTCATCTGCCTTATGATTTTGTTTTTTTAATCCTACAAAGAGGTCCAATGTGAAAGATCCTTCAGCACCAACTAAGTGCTGGGTCCAATCCTGGAGTTTTGTGAAGCCAGAAGTGCCAGTTCTTTTTTTTTTTTTTTTTTTTTTAATGTGTATTGATTTTTGAGAGAGACAGAACGTGAGCGGGAGAGGGGCAGAGAGGAAGACACAGAATTCGAAGCAGGCTACAGGCTCTGGGCTGTCAGCACAGAGCCCCATACGGGGCTCAAACTCAGGAACCATGAGATCATGACCTGAGCCAAAGTCGGACACTCAACCAACTGAGCCACCCAGGTGCCCTGAGCAGTGCCAGTTCTAAAGGAATATTCTCTAGGTGGTGGTCAGTTGTAAGTAAGGTTGCATGTGCAGCAGATAGCAAGAAGAAAGAAGCAGAAAGAGGGTTGGAAAGAGAGATTGAAGGTCCACATCAGAACAATGAAGCGTCAGCAGATTCTGATCACATAGATGCAGCAGTGGGCACCTATGAAGGGGTTCACAACTATGACACAAGGAATGATGGTAAACCTAAAGCTGTCATTTGTCAGTTTCTTCTCAGTCTGTGCATCCTGCTATTTCTGTTGACCAATAAAAATTGGCAAGTCTGTTTGTAAAAGTGAGATGAGATTAACTACAAATGACCAGAGATAACATTTCCTGTCATGTAGAGTTGTGGAATTTGTTACAATAACTGATGCTTTTTAGAAGTAAACCAAAACTCTCATCCTGGGCAGGTTCTGTACATATGAAATGGCATATTCACCTATGGTTACATCACCACTATTAATGTGATCTGTATTATTTTTAAAGGTACTTGCCATGGGGTATTTGCAATGACATCCATGTATGTGTTGTTGTTGCTATAAATAATTCTATAAATATCTGTAGATCTTTAATTTCTGCAAAAAAAAAAAAAGCACACACCTTTCCAGAGTTTGTATACTGCCTTATTTTGCAAATGTAGAATTATTCTCTACTTGCTATCCTCAATTCACTTATATAAAGCACAACTAAGTCATGATTATCCCTCATTTGATTTCTCTTTGCTTTTAATGCTTACAACAGAGCATTCAGTATTTATATATATTTCAAAGTTGCATGTGTTAGTTTCTCTACTCCAGAAATATCTGAGGTATGGGAAAGGAAGTTGATCATTATGTTATCAGAGTCAAAATAGAATTAACATTCGGAAATAATGTTAAAAGCTAAATGGTAAGGGGCGCCTGGGTGGCTCAGTTGGTTGAGCGTCCGTCCACCTTCAGTTCAGGTCATGATCTCATGGTTCATTGGTTTGAGCCCCATGCCAGCTCTGTGCTTATAGCTCAGAGCCTGGAGTTGGCTTCAGATACTGTGTCCCCCTCTCTCTCTGCCCCTCCCCCACTTGCACTCTGTCTCTCAAAAATGAATAAACATTTAAAAAAATTTTTAAAAGCTAAATGGTAATTTCAAAGAGAAGACAAAAGTCTCAGGAAGGAACTTTTCTGAAGGTGTTCATTTATGTCCCCATCATCCACATACCTGGGGAAAAATTTTTTTCTTGGGTTACCTTCTCCCAGGACCTTCTTGGTGGAACCCATGTCAAGTATTTTTAGGTTCTATAGGAAAACGGATCATCTGTGGCACCTTCCCAGTTTTCTTTTTGACTCTGTAGGCTACTTTGAAATTTGCTACTCATAGTCCATTAACTTACAAAGGGAGAGATAAGAGAAAAATATGTTGTTCTTTTTATTTTTATGTGTAATGTCATTTTTAGTTTTCTTAGCCTGATGGCATTGTCTTTGTCTTTATTACAGAATATGCTTAGATGGCAAAAAAAAAAAAAAAAAAAATCACTTTAGGTCTCTCCAGGGCCCTTCTTTGCTATCAGCCATCGGGCCCTTACTTGTGGTACTTTGATGTCTTACAGTCCATCACATGGTTACTTGCTGAGGGTTAGATATCTAATTTGTGATCATCTGACACTTAATGAGGGTATTTTGTGCTCACACTCCTTCTTTGCCCACTCCTCTGAAGTTGGTGTCACCTTTCTCTAGTTGGATAGCCACGAGATTGTCCTGGCCAGCAGGGTCCAGGGGATAGAGGAAGCCCGGGGAACCATGGGGCACAACATCTCAGTTCTGCTGCCCTTCTTGTCCCACATCCTCATGTCATTTACAGCTCAGTTAATTTCATTTCAGACACTGTCTTTCTCACAAATCAATACGCATCCTCTTCACTCCATCTCCTCTTTCAGTCTGCCCATCCTTGTCAAGAAGCCTCAGAAAAATATCTCTTCTCTAATTTGTATGTCTTAGGAGTCACAAGATAAATCACTGCTGATAATAAAAAAAATTACATGAGCAAAACATGCATATCAAGAAAAAGAAAGAAAAGGACAGAAATTTGGGCACCTGGGTGGCTCAGTTGGTTAATCATCTGACTCTTAGTTCCTGCTCAGGTCATGATCTCACAGTTTGTGAGTTCAAGCCCCGCGTCGGGCTCTGCACTGACAGCTGGTAGCCTACCTGGGATTCTCTCTCTCTCCCTCTCTTTCTCTGACTCTCTCCATGCGTGCACGCTCTCTCTCTCTCAAAATAAATAAATAAACATAAAAAAGAGAAAATTACAGAAATTTAAGGTTAAAAGGAATAGTGCCAGCAAACTATACAGTGTTTAAATGTGCCTATAATCTATGCAAGTCTCTAATTCCCTAACTTTTCAACTGAAGTTTGTTTCTTTAAGCATTATTGTTGAAGATATGTGTATATTTTTTGCTATATAAGTTATCTTAAGCTTTATTTTACTTAGTTGTGTTAGACAAATACTGTGCCTTATTAGTTTTCATTATTTCAGCCATTTATTGGTTAAGAATGTCTTCATGGGTTAGTTTGGGAGGTGTTCCCATGACTTCCATTATTATTCCTATTCAAAATAAAATAAATTATTAGTTCCAAAACAGTTAAACTGCAAGTAAAGTTTTATTTTTAAAATTATTTTAAGCTGAATATGGCCTGTCTATGATATTTTCATGAAAAAAGACTAATATCTATAATCAACATGTTTTCTGGGTCAGACAAAAGGAAAACAGATCGCAATGGAAGAGATTCATTATTTGAATTCATTTTTTTTCTAGAAAAAATGTAACAGGAGCAAGAAGATAAATGAGGACACATACCTCTTAGTTCATTTAACTTATTGATGTTTTCTCTGCAATGACACCAGCTAGGATGAGGTAATTCACTATAATTAGAGCTGCCAGCGGCAGGTGGGTGATTCAGAGAAAGGCATTTGTCAACAGACTCTAGTGAGCAGGAGAAAAACTGAAATCTCACCACAGTGACGGCTTGCCTGCCTCCAAATTAAGTCTTCATCCTCTTGTCATGCCTTTGAGGGCCCTTTCCCTTGCTTTGGCCTGAGATGCTTTCTGTATTCTGCCCCCTTGCTCCCCAAGATGTTCTATGTGCCCCCCACCCCCATCTCGTCCTGTATTTCCCAGCAAAGACCTGGACTTTGAGTCTCTCTTCAAATGGAAGTCAATATAGGCTTCTTCCCTAAATTGTCAATTGCATGAGTGAGAACCAAGTCCATCTTTTCCCCGTTGTCCACAGGATCCGGCAGTGCCTCTCATATAGCCAGAGCATATCAACTGAATGAATGAATGAATGAATGAACAAATGAGTGAGTTAATGTAATTGTATTTACCTCCATTTGCAGGGAGTAGCACTCGTCCTTCTCTGTTTCTTACTAAGATTTGACTTACTGATAAGAGACATTACGTCTTCCAGAATTATTTATACCTAAATTGGGACAATCTCTTAAATAATCCAAAGCCGAGTTGGGGGAAATTTTACCTGTAATTTCATCTATTAGAAACAAGCAGAGGGGGAGAGCAACATACAATTTAGTGAATCCCCTACACTGCAGTACATTAGCTATCATAGACTTCACCTATTTAGAACATTGGACCTACCTGGATTCTAGACCTTCTCGTTGCTAACCTCCCATTAAGACCACAGGAAAGAGAAGTTCATTTAATACGTGCTGCTATCTTTGGTGGAGGAAAAAAAATGTTTCTGGGGGGTGATGAGGGGACTTGATAAACATTATTCACACATGTGGCTCCAGGATCCTAGAAGTGATGAAATTATATTAATAATAATAGTTATAATTTATTGAGCTCCTAGTATATACTAAGCATTTCCATACATTATTTAATTTATACAACCCAACAGAGGATGTTATTTTCATTTCACTTATTTTCATTTTCTAAAGTTTAGAAAGAGTATACATAACATCCTATTTTAGAGATGTGCATGATTTCCATAAAGTCTTATCCTCCTCAGACCAGGGTCTTTTTTTTTTTTTTTTTTTTTAAACATTTTTTTTCAACGTTTATTTATTTTTAAGACAGAGAGAGACAGCATGAATGGGGGAGGGGTAGAGAGAGAGGGAGACACAGAATCGGAAGCAGGCTCCAGGCTCTGAGCCATCAGCCCAGAGCCTGACGCGGGGCTCGAACTCACGGACCGCGAGATCGTGACCTGGCTGAAGTCGGACGCTTAACCGACTGCGCCACCCAGGCGCCCCGACCAGGGTCTTGAAAAGACATCATCTTGGGTGTGAGAAATAGAAGGAGTATGAAAACTACAATATTTTCTTATAGAAGAAGAAGGAATAGGTAATATCTATTTTGGCATTAAATTTAGTAGTTAGGGGCACTTGGGTGGCTCACTCACTTAAGCATCCGACTTTGGCTCAGGTTATGATCTCATGGTTGGGGAGTTCGAGCCCAGCATCGTGCTGTTTGCTGTCAGCACAGAGCCCTTTTTGGATCGTCTTTCTCCCTCTCTCTCTGCCCTTCCCCTGCTTGTTCTCTCTCTCTCTCTCTCAAAAGTAAATAAACATTTTTAAAAATTAAAAAATATGGGGCGCCTGGGTGGCGCAGTCGGTTAAGCGTCCGGCTTCAGCCAGGTCATGATCTCGCGGTCCGTGAGTTCGAGCCCCGCGTCGGGCTCTGGGCTGACAGCTCAGAGCCTGGAGCCTGTTTCGGATTCTGTGTCTCCCTCTCTCTCTGCCCCTCCCCCGTTCATGCTCTGTCTCTCTCTGTCCCAAAAATAAATAAATGTTGAAAAAAAAATTTTTCTTTTTTAAATAAAAAAAAATTAAAAAATAAATTTAATAACGTTTCATACCATCTAAAGTATCCATGCCAATATGCCTACTGTTGACGTTCTTTTTGAAATCATCCTCCAGCTGTAAAAAAGGGCTCCTACGACATGGTGTTCACTCTGCTTAAACACAATGCCAGCCTTGACCAGCCCTGCATCAAGCGATGGTCAGCAATGCATGAAGCGGCCAAACAAGGCCGCAAGGATATCATAGCGCTGCTACTAAACCACGGAGGCAATGTCCACTTGAGAGACGGATTTGGAGTCACGCCGTTAGGAGTTGCTGCTGAGTATGGTCACTGTGATGTGTTGGAACACCTAATCCACAGAGGTATCTGAAAAGGAATTGCACATTCTTGCTGTTTCTCCTGTCCCTCAATTTCCTTTTCTCCATTCCTCATTGCCTCCCCTTTCTCTCCTGAATGTAACTGGGCCTCAGGCTTTTGTACCCAGCTCCTCAAGAAACCTCTTGAAATCCCCTCTTCCACAACTTAATTACTCCCTATACATCATGACCTACGAATCTGCCTACCCTTACTAAAACTTCTGGTCCTCAGTTTCCTCCTTTGTAAATAAAGGCTAGGGCCATATGCTCCCCCAAGGATCCTCTATGGAGAAAAAACTAACATTTTTGAGCCCCCCTCCCAACAACACAACCTCATTTAATTATCGTATGAACCCTATGAAATAAGCGATATTTTACAGAGGAGGAGACAGATATTCGTAGAAGTAAGTAGCTTGCCCCAGACTCTCTCAGTCTACAGCGGAGCCAGAATTCAAACACTTCTTTCTCCCACATCATGACTCCTAGTCCTAATGTCATTCGGACTCCTAGTCCGAATGTTATGCGGTTTGTGTTCTTTGATAATATTTTGTCTCATTTCTCTTCTGAGCTCCTTAAGGTATTCTTATTTTTTCATTTTAGGATCTTCTGCTGGGTCACACACAGCACATAGAGGGCAGTTGTTGAAATGGAATAGAGTGTTAACATTGCCTTTAAATTTGAAAGGCTAACTACTCCTTTTCTTGGGAGCACTTGTCTACCTTGTAAATTGACTTCTTGATTTCTCATGCAAAGATTTTCTAATAAAATGAAACACGCATGCATAATTGTTTATTGAAAATACTGAGAACACAGCTGTTCTTAATCTTATACTTTTAATTTTAAGTCCTAGCCAGAAAGGAAAACAGCAGGTTATTATTAAGGCGACTGTCATGACAATTTCAAGATAACTCCAGTTATCATTCTGCCATATGTTTTATATTGCCAGGTGGTGATGTGTTTGCTTTGGCGGATGATGGGGCTTCAGTATTGTTTGAGGCAGCAGGAGGGGGCAATCCTGACTGCATTTCCCTCCTGCTGGAATATGGAGGAAGTGGAAATGTACCCAACAGAGCAGGGCATCTTCCAATACACCGAGCTGCCTACGAGGGACATTATCTGTGAGTAATAAATCATAAGAGGATCATTTTAAGTTGAAATATACAAAATTGTATGTACAGTAGAATCTCAAGTCTTATCTATTTAATACCTCCCAAAATCTGAAAAGAAAAAGACACACTGTTCACAAGTTTTGGGTACATAAATATTTGTTTGATTTTTCCCTTTCTTTTTATATTCTGGTACTTTTCTAGAATTTCCACATTCAACTTATACCACTTTTATAATCAAAAATTTTTCTTTTAGAAGGAAGGAAGTTATAACTGAGAATTCTGCACAAACCACTTAAATATGCCTTTCTGTTTTGTTTTGTTTTTCAATGTGTTTAACAAAAAGCTACATGGTTTCTAAAACTTTTGCCTTTGACAAAGGACTTTGTGACAATGCCACCAGTATTACTCTAATTTTTATTAATACCTACAGGTATTATGATATAATGTCAAATTTATCCTTGAATAGAGAAGTTTCACCATAAGTTCAGATTTCTTTATTCTTGGGGTGGGGGGAAGGTCGGATAGATTTTTAAATCACAAAATGTGCCACAATCAACACATCAATAGAAATCTACAATCACTATATTAAACCACCCACCATAAGAGGATGGCTTTAGGAGATTAAATATATTTTATAAGTTCAAAAACTTTGAAATCATTAGGCTTTAGCACATTCAGTGGCCACATTGGCTAAGTGGCCAATGACACATAATTGACGCTAAGTGACATGTTGTTAAAGTTACCTGGATTTACTCCCAGTGTTCATAAATTCACACATGGTAGCTCTGAATTAGGCACAAGAGATCAAGTTATCCTTGCTGTGGCTCTCATGTGTGTCTAGTTGTTCAGGCAAGTGTGAAATTCACAACTGTTTATCACAGGTTCTTAGAAACCTAAGCTGTGGCGAGTTATCCCCATTGGACTGATAAAGGGTGATGGACTAATAAAGACTCTTTTTTTTGTGGCTATTAATTCAATTGCAAGCTATATGGAGGGAGGCAGGATGTGCGTGGCCACTACTGAAGCATAGACTGCTCAGGAAGCAGTGAGAGAGAAGTAACAAATGAGAATTCAAAAGGCCTGGACTCTAGTCCTTGCTCCACATCCAGCTGTGTGACCTTGGACAAGTCATTTCACCTCTCCAGACTTCCTGTTGCTCTTCCGTTAAATGAGGGGTTGGACTAAGCAATGTTGAAGGTCACGTCCTATGACTCCATAATTCTCATGGTCAAGATTATGAAGTGTTCTTCTATGGGGTCAGATGAGCTAACCTTTTATATTTTTTTCATTAAATAGCTTTGGTTGTTTATAAATATTATGTTGTTCCAAAGAGAATTGGAAGATGGAGAGGGTTCCTAAGGAACCACAACTCTAGGACCAAACATAGGACATTGAGCATGTTGCCCAGGAATATTTAGAATGGGAAACTAAAAACAAAACTGAATTACACTAAACTAAGCAGTAAGCCAGTGGGCAAAGGTTAAATATTAAATGTTTTGTATGAAGTTATCTAGAGAAAGTAAAAGAAGTTAAACAGGCTGCATTCACTTGTCTAGTGAGGAATCTGGTTTATTGAAATTCTTCGTTTTCTTCATGCCATGTGGATATTTGACTTTTTTTTTTAGTGCGCTGAAGTATCTTATCCCAATAACATCCAAAAATGCAATCCAGAAAAGTGGGCTAACACCAATTCACTCAGCAGCAGATGGACAAAATGTACAGTGCCTAGAGCTGCTTATTGAAAATGGCTTTGATGTCAATACCCTGCTTGCTGACCACATTTCCGAGAGCTATGATGATGAGCGGAAGACTGCGCTCTATTTTGCCGTTTCTAACAATGATATCCAGTGCACAGAAGTCCTTCTGGCTGCAGGTGCAGACCCAAACCTAGATCCCCTCAACTGTCTACTCGTGGCAGTGAGGGCCAATAACCATGAAATTGTCCGGCTGCTTCTCTCCCACGGAGCTAACGTCAATTGTTATTTTATGCGTGTGAATGACACACGTTTCCCCAGTGCCATTCAATATGCCCTAAATGACGAGGTAATGCTGAGGCTGTTGCTGAATAATGGCTATCAAGTGGAGATGTGCTTTGACTGCATGCATGGGAACATCTTTGGAAATTCATTTGTGTGGTCAGAGATAGAAGAAGAGGTACTACCGGGGTGGACATCTTGTGTAATAAAAGATAACCCGGTGAGTTACATCCTTTTCTTCTTCCTACTGGGTCATCATCCTAACTTTTGCTCACTTAGGGATATCACAAGAAAAGAAAAATCCACTCTTGTATTTTTCTTATTCTTGAATTTTTTTTGGCAATAATATGGGGAGATAAGCATAAAACTAGTCAAAAAAGATTAATTATTTTTCTTGAATTGGAAACTGAATGTAGACGAAAATGAAAATGTATGCAATTAATAATTTATGTGTATGTGGTCGAATATGGGAGATGGAAACATGGAGAGAAGAATCATGGAAAGCCACCTGATTCTTCCATGCTCTTGACTGCAATCACATCAAAGTCATGCACATAGCTTCAGGGCTCATAGTTTCCTAGGTGCAAGTAAACAATTTCTTTTTCTTTTTTGTTCATTACAAGGAGGCTACTTGTATTTTCCATAAGAAGACAATAGTAATTTTTCATAGCAAAATTGAGTGCTTATGTATATAGTATATTAAATGTACTACTAAATTAAATTTTATCAATTCTCTCAGTTCTGTGAGTTTATTACAGTTCCTTGGATGAAACACTTGGTAGGCAGCGTTATTCGTGTATTAATTGATTACATGGATTATATCCCTCTGTGTGCTAAACTGAAGTCTGCACTACAAGTACAGAGAGAATGGCCAGAAATCCGTCAAATACTAGGTAAAAAAAAAAAAAAAAAGTTTTGCCTATAATTTTTTTTATGAAGAATGTATACAGGGGAAGTTTCTTAATGTCATATTTGATACTTTTTCTGTGCTACTTTGTTTTCAGAATTATCCAGGTGTTTAAAAATCATCCTTAATACTTCCTCTGATAAGGATGCTAAGTATTGGCTTTTCCTAACAGTTTCCAAATCTTTAATTGTATAATGAGTAATACTATAACTATATTAACATTTGACAAACATATTAAAAAAAAAAAACTTCTATAAGACTATAAGATACATAGACTCATCTCCATGTGGGCAGGCATCTGTTTTGTTTGTTTTTGTATTCTCAAGACTTAGCATGATACCTAGTGAGTAGTAAATAATAAATACCAAGTAAATGGATGAATGGAATGAATTAGAGTTAGCCTTTTTGATATGCTCTCTCTCAGGTCTTTATTGACAAATTCCTATCAAAAGTTTGCCTTATAGGCTGGCTATTTTGTATTCTCTAGGTTAAAGTTTAGTTTATAATAAAAGTGAGTCATATTATAAATACGAACTAAGACTAAGGGCAATTACAAAACAGTTTGGACCGTATAAATTCTTTTTTCTTTTTTACATGTTAAGTAATTCTGAAGCTCATTAATGTTTGGAAACCAATATTTTATTTTTATTTTATTTTATTTTATTTTATTTTATTTTATTTTAATTTAATTTATTTTTTTTATAAGCTCTATGCCCTACATGGGGCTTGAACTCATGATCCCAAGATCAAGAGTTACATGCCCCACCAACTGAGCCAGCCAGGCCCCCCCTGGACCCTATAAATTCTTGAAACTGACCTGTTAAGTCTCCCTTTCTGAACCACAGCCCACATTGGGAATAAAATCAAAATCAAGCAGGACAGAGCCATGAGAAACTCCAGACAAAAGGAGGGGCAGCAAACAGAACCAAGAAACCTCAGGAGCAAGCCACTATTTTAGATCATTGCAAGAAGACAGCAGAATAGGGAGTTCTGTAAAGTCAGAAGAGCTACCTTAGACCAAGCATCCTTCTAAAACTTCAGGAAAACTAATGTCACGTCAAAATGAGCAACAGAAAATTATCACAGTCAAGTTTCATATAAATTTATTATAAGAAAAAATAGGAAGAGGAACAGACTAATATCCTCACAGACAAGAAAGCACACTAGAAAACCACACCCTCAGGACAGATGAAAACTAAAAACTTAATTTCAAAATGGGCTAAACAGTGTAAGGAAAATGATATAAGACACAAAAGAACCACACAAGTTCTGAATTACAAAACTTCAGAAATGAGATAACAACTAAGGAAGGAACTTGACATAAAAAGAAAAAAATAATTTCTTTTTTTAAAAAATTAATTTCAAATATAAGGCTGAACCAGTATGAAGTCAAGAACTAATAAGGCAACAGATAATACCTTCAGAGAAACAGAAGTTGGAACAGAAGAAAAACTTTTAAATAAAATAGAAATAAAGGAATAAACCAAAGCATTTGAAATGCAGCGACAGATATTAAAGACAGGCAATAAAGAGTAAAGAAAGGAATAATAGGGTTCCTTGAAAAGGAAAACCAACAAATCTCCTGTTTGAGGGAACAGAACAAATACAAAAACCTATATTACACAAAAAAAATCTGTGATGAAAAGACAAAACCACAAATTACTATATTCTTTGGTCATGTAGGCAAAAACAATGGACTCACGGGGGAAAAATCAGATTCTGTCAGGTAATATTGTTCCTCTGACCGCCTTCTGAAGAATCCACTAGGAGACGAGCTTCAGACAAACCAAAATGAGAAGAGGTAATGACATAAGGACTAGTACTGAGCATTAGACAGAATACCAAGACTAGGGGCGCCTGGGTGGCGCAGTCGGTTAAGCGTCCGACTTCAACCAGGTCACGATCTCGCGGTCCGTGAGTTCGAGCCCCGCGTCGGGCTCTGGGCTAATGGCTCAGAGCCTGGAGACTGTTTCTGATTCTGCATGCTCTGTCTCTCTCTGTCCCAAAAATAAATAAACTTTGAGAATACCAAGACTAACTGCTATTGAAAAGAGAGAAGATACAATATGTAGGGTTGCATGGCCAGATAATGTGGGTATGACGCAACTATTTTAAAACAGAGAGAGCAGGGGTGCCTGGATGGCACAGTCAGTTGAGTGTCCGACTTCAGCTCAGGTTATGATTTCATGGTTCATGAGTTCAAGCCTCGCGTTGGGCTCTGGGCTGACATCTCAGAGCCTGGAGCCTGCTTTGGATTCTTTGTCTCCCACTCCCTCTGCCCCTCACCCACTCACACTCTGTCTCTGTCTCTGTCTCTGTCTCTGTCTCTGTCTCTCTCTCAAAAATAAATAAACATTAGAAATAAATAAATTGGAGAGAGCACACACAAAAACAGTTTTTTAAGGTTTTATTTTTAAGTAATCTCTACACCCTATGTGAGGCTTGAACTAACCCCGAGACAAGGAGTTACATACTCCACTGACCAGGCCAGCCAGGCGCCCCTACACAAAAACATTCTTTAAAGATATCAAATTATATGATGGTGGCATAATAACACAACTAATGTTATTTGAGAATGAGAGATGCATTTAGTAAGTGAATGATTGTGGGATATTCTAACTCTATTATTCTTTGTATCATTGAGAACCAGTTTATTTGTGTGGAAGGAAGGAAATACAGATGTAATATGTTAAAAAAAAAACATCTTTTAGCTTGACCTTGAATTGGAAGAATCAATATGAACTCAAGCTATTTTACCTGGGGTGTGTGTGTGTGTGTGTGTGTGTGTGTGTGTGCCTACAAAAAAAAGGCTTAGAAATAAAGACAGACTGAGTAGCAATGAGCATCCCCAGTACCCAGACTGTGGTCTTGAAATATCATTTCCTAGAAAAAGAAATGGATGATTTCAGGTCTCAGGAAGCAGTGTGCAAGACAAGCCTGGGATATGTGTCATTCCACATTGCAAACGAGCCCACAAAGCCTACAAGAGCATGCCAAGAGAATTCAGGAGCCAACTTGAAGAGGCTCCTACTGGCCAAAGATGGGACAATTAAGCTTCCAAAGGGTAATTATATCAATAAGTTGAAATCAATTAAATATGCTTAAGTATGATATTTTAAAAATTGATCAACTTCAGATGATAAGGAAATCAATTCATTATCTTGAAAGCTTATAAAGGAAAAGATCTAAGCATTTATTCTGTCTTACCTATGTGATTTGTGTCACTGGTAACCAAAAAGTAGAGGAGAAAAAGCATCTCTTTATACAAGTATTCCAAATAATAAATGAAAAAGAAATGGTAAAACTAGATGTCACCATTTTGCAACCCCCAGTCAGCTAATGGATGCGGTCACTGAGCATCAGCTGTTCCTATTGTCTCATTATGTGGCCCTTGATGAAAGAACACAACACCAGCTATAGTTTTTCCCAGGAGATCAAACCTGAGTCTGCTCAAGTCTCTGCATCCAGCTATCAATTTGCCAGAACCAGAAATGGAGGTGAAGCACGGAGCTGCACCATGAAAATGCAATCAGCAAAATTTAGGCTGTGGGAAACTGCTGGGCTTTTTGGTTCTTAAAAGATTAATTGAAGGGAAGAGAAGTGGATGGAAAGAAGAGGATGGATTAAAAGAGATTTAAAGGTCATATCGAATTTTTAAAAAATGTTGCCAATACAATAGCACAGGGATGGCACACTTCGATGATGAAGCTCTAAAGGAAGTGATTACGGGGGCACCTGGCTGGCTCAGTCGGTGGAGTGTGCGACTCTTGATCTCGGGGTTGTAAGTTCGAGCCCCATGTTGGGTGCAGAGGTTACTTTAAAAAATAAATAAAAAATAAAGGAAGTGATTACCACAAAAGTCAGAATAGTGGTAACTTATAGGGGAGGAATGAATGAAGATTGCAATGGGTTATGGAGGAAATTATGGGGCAGCTGGGGAAATTCTATTCACGACCTGGGGGGTGATTAAACATATTCATCTCATAATCACTGATAATGACTCATAAAGCTATACATGTGTGTAGTTACTTATATTTTATTTTTACAATAAAGAGGTTAAAACATTTTGGAGACTGTAAGGAAAAAAAACAACCCCAAAGTCTTAAATACCTTAATTACCCAAGGTTAAAGACCTGGAAAACAAAGCAAAGATTTGAACCCTTGTCTGTCTTCCCTCAAACCAGTCTCTCCAACACTGCTGTGTTTCCTGTCATAGGCAGAACAGAGTTCGCTTCTAACTGCTAATTAATTGTCCATGTGTTTTTATTACAAAAGAATAACAATTCTGCTGACTTTAGAAAGGAAATCTAAGGAGGAAGAAGACCAAGGTGGTGTTTTGTTGTTTCAGTCATACATTAACGTAGCTGGAGTGGAAGTCAGTTGAATGCTGTGAGCGTGGTTAACCACTGGATGTCAGGATTCCTCCAGACATATGTGAGGCGGTGTCTTTGTTAAAGAAGAAAATAAAATGCAATTTTTTTTTAAATGGACTTATTTTGCCTATTTGGGTAATAATAATTATGACTTCATAGTTTTTTTTTTTAACTTTTTTTTTCAACGTTTTATTTATTTTTTTTGGGACAGAGACAGAGAGAGACAGAGCATGAACGGGGGAGGGGCAGAGAGAGAGGGAGACACAGAATCGGAAACAGGCTCCAGGCTCCGAGCCATCAGCCCAGAGCCCGACGTGGGGCTCGAACTCACGGACCGTGAGATCGTGACCTGGCTGAAGTCGGACGCTTAACCGACTGCGCCACCCAGGCACCCCATGACTTCGTAGTTTTTGAAAAACACTGTTTTAATTTTTTGAGAAGGTAATCACAAAGGTAATAGAAATATGATGTCTTTTATTCCTGAACTGAGTGATAGTTCACATTATGAAGGGTTACAAAGTACCAAGCAGTTTTCTAATACTCTACATAAATTAATTTGATCTTCAAACAACACTATGAGGTAGGTCCCATTGTTATCCACATTTCACAGGTGAGAATACTGAGATCACAGAGGTCAAGTTCAAAGTCATACAGATACCAAGTGGCAGAGCCAGGATTTAAATCTATGTCAACCGTCCAAAGCCCACAACTAACACCATGTACTCCACTGCCCTTTCATTAGCTCATACTGCTGGGATAATGTATCAGTGTTGTAATATAGATAAAGAGTTGAAAATAAAGACTAATATCAGATATTTAAGTGATGTTAGATTAAAAAAAACAAAGTGTTTAAGTATCAGAAACTGAAACAAACCTGAGATTGAATTATATATACATGGAATCATTTCATCATGAGCTCGATCTCACGACAGTGAGGTCATGACCTGAGCCGAAATCAAGAGTTGTATGCTTACCCGACTGAACCACTCAGGTGCAGCATTTGCTTTCTTAAGCCAATTCCATTCATTCATTTAACATGTCCTGGCTCAACATCCACTATGAGCCAGACTGTCTTCCTGACACTGAAACAAGCTAAGTGTCTTCATGGAGACTGTATTCTGGAGCAGTGGCCTGGGATGCTTAATTACACTTTGAATTTCTTTTAAAATCGCCAGCTGCTAAATGTATACATATCTGACTTTTAGAATGACACTATTAATGTTACTCTAAACCAGAATGTAACTTACAAGTCAATCCACGATACTGTTTTTATTTTTTGCTTGTTTTTTCCCCATCATTTTAGAGAATCCTTGCTCGTTAAAGCATTTGTGTCGGTTAAAAATTCGAAGACTTATGGGTCTCCAACGACTCTGCCAGCCAGCCTCAATGGAGAAGCTCCCTCTACCACCAACCATTCGAAGATATATATTATTTAAAGAGTATGATCTCTATGGACAAGAGCTAAAATTGCCATAATTTAAAAAATAATATTTTCAAATGTGATTTTAAAAGTATTTTAAAATGGGAGTCCTTCAGAATTTCTTGGAATCATTTTATATTCTTAAATGTGTTTAAATCCATTAACAATTTTATAATGATCATGTGTTCTTATGGGGACACGGTATTTTACATCTTTAGAAACCTTTACATTGTGATTTTTTTAAGCTGGTCAGTATTTTGTACGTGAATTTCTATTAATTATCTTCACTTCCAACAAGTCTTCAACTTCTCCCTATCAAGTGTCTCCTACCATATACGTCTCTCCTGTGTTTATAAAACAAGCAAACAACCACTTTCTCAAACCCGCATCTCCAGCCAGTTGCTGGCTCTTTCCTTTCTTTTATACCCATACTGCATAAAAGAGCTCCTTCCTGCCTGCAGATGCACACTCTATAATCTGGCTTGGGCTCCCTCCACTGCCTTTCGCAAGGTCTTTAACAACTGCCTTGTTGCTAATTTCAAAGGGCATTCTTCAGTCCTTTCAACGGATTCCCGCAGCATCTGGCACTGCCGTCTGCTCTCTCCGTAAAATGGTTTTCTCTTAGCTTTCAAGACACCTTGCTCTCTTGGCTCTCCTCCCACCTCCCTGGCCGGCCACTTTGTCTCTGGCTTCTTTCTGTGTTGTTTATCTGCTGACAACCCGTTAGTATGTCCTAAGCCCTGTTTCGGTCTTATGCTGTGTTTTCTGGGAGAAATGTCATCCACATCTAGAGTTTTAATAACTAACCATATGCTATTAACTTAGAAAATTTATATTTGAAGTTCAACTCTTTCTCTCATGCTCTGTAAACAAGTATTCTAATGGACTTTCAAAGACAGAGGCACCTCAGTTCCTCCACAAAAGTGCTCTTTTCCTACATCCTCTAGCTCAGTAAAGCCCAATTATCATCAGCTCAGTTTACTTAGGAAAAACCTGGACATCAGCCTTGACCATCCCATTTTTCTTACCCAATATAACAAATCACCAATTCCTGGTAAGTTTGTCCTTTGAAGACATCTTCTTCTACTCAGTCTTACTGATTTGGCCCTAATTCTAGCTATTCTCTCCTTTCTCGTGGGATACTATAGTGCTATCTAAATGGCCTTGCCTTCCTGCTGTCTTGTTCCGTCCAACATACATTCTACACACAACATCCCAGAACAATCTATTACAAATCTAAATAGAGTTTCACTCTCCTGCTTAAAATCATTCCCATTGCTTTTAGGATAAAGTCTAGAGTTCCAGGACTTCCTGGCCCTTCCTGTTTGAAATCCCTGCCTTCCTCCTCAGTCTTATCTCTTGACTTCTCCCTTACCCCTCTCCTTTAACCATACTAAACACCTTTTAAAAGTTTATTGTTTGAACAGTGATTCCCAGATTTTTAGATTTTACATACCTGCAGTTTTAATTTTGCTAATTAAAAAAATAGGGTCCTCTATTTTTAAAAAAATTATCATCTACTATCACTGTCATTTTATAAAAGAGGAGCCATTTTAACGCCAGGAAATCAGTCGGCCTTAAACACAATTATTAAAATTGAATGACTTTAGCTTTTAAAAGATTTAACACACTGCCTTCATTTCCTTGATGGGTGAAAATTCACTGTGGCCCAACAAATACCTAAGGTCCTTTGTCTGGGAACCACTGTTGTAGAAATGGACTATGCTCTCTTATGCCTTGGCGTCTTTGCTTTTTTCTCTCTCTGTGCCTAGAATCTCTTTTCATTTCCTTCTTCCCCTCTCACCCCTTGTCCTAAGGTCTCATCTTAGACAATCCTTCCTGTAGGATGGAGGGCCACAGCACAGCATTTTGCAGGCTGTATTAGAGGTGCCTCTGTTCACATCTGTCTGCCCCACTAGACTGGAAGCTCTATGAGAGGAGGGCCTATGTCTGTTTTGTTTTCCAACGTTTTCTTAGAGCCAAACACATTCCCTACAGCACAGAGAACGTTTGATAATTATTCGTTGAGTATATTGAATGAGTAGGTTTTAGTATAAGACCCAGACAAAAATAATCCGTGACCTCATCACTATCATGGTAAAATGATAGTTTTGAGTCTCTGAATTGGTTATGTAACCTTAATCATGTAATTATCGAGATTTGTTTTTCTTAGATTTTAATAATATGTTTTTCTTATATTTATGTTTGTCTTTGGAGTTACTGTATTCTTTCAATAGTAATACCTGATTGGTTTGTGAATTTTTCAAGTTGTATTTAGCTTTAGTTATCTTTCAAAGAGAAATAAGCCTGAAAAAAAACCCTGTGCGACTAGAGCTATAGTTTTAACCTCCTGTATTCCCCAGGGGATATATTTTATATAAATTAAAATGTAATTTATTTATTTATTTAATTCAAACTATAATCTTTTGTGTATAGTATTGCATGATTCCCTCTATTTTTCTCCTAGTTGTGACTAAATGCATTGTTACTTGCAAGCATTGCTCTTAATCAATAAAAACTAATACTGGGGATGTAAGTCTGCTTTATATTTCAGATATTCAGTAAACTAAAGCACTGACATTTCTTTAATGTATTCTTGTGTAAATACATTCAAAATACTTCGGATATTAAATAAACTCTAGTACAAGAAAGCCGTGACATCTTCTTTAGTGTATTTTATGTAACATATTCACAAAATATTTGAATGTAAAGATGGCATATGTTACAGGTTTTGCAAGTGGTTCTTTTGGTACTTGTACAGCAGGAGAAAGATGTATTCTATGAAACTGACACAATTGCTGTATCCAATTTTTTTTTTCCTTACGTTTTGAAATTGCCTAGCTGTGCTTTTGTTTTTGAGTGGCCTGGGTGGTAAGGGGAACTAATTTCTATCTAATTAGGACTCTGTTTCTCCTAGGATATGTCACTTTATCTGGAAGAGGGCAACAGCTGCTTCTCCCTGCTGAGGCTTAAGAGAAGACAAACATTCTACAGTGGTGCCTGTTGAACCACTGTGGAATTGACATGATAGAGTTTTGATGACATCGCCCCATGCTGCCAAGATGTACATGGTTGTTTTGGTCACTGTGGATTTTGTTTTGTGTTCTACAGGGAGCCTGGAGGGAAAGGAGCAGCTCTGATCTCTCATTTGAGTGTGTTTTCTTTAGTTTCTCAGTAGGCAATCCTTGAAGAGTATTTCCATTTCTGACTTAAAATAATTGTATGAGCACATGGAAACCAAGTGCTTGCTGAAGAATGTGGTTCAGTCATTTTCGCTGGTCACAGGACATGTTTCTAGGCAATAGGATGACCGCGTAAAAGACGTGAGAAGGATTGCATTCATGTTGTACAGCAGATATTCATAGGTAACCCTCCCTTTGATGCAGGCTTTCAAAAAATCCGTATCTGTAGGTCAGACAGCATGGAGACTACAAAACAAAAAAAATGGGGTCTTTTATGACACAGAGAACACGCTTTAGCCTCGTCATTGACCTCTTGCCCCACATTCCGATCCACGTTTTGGTTTCAAGTCACATTACTCTCATGCGTATAGTCACCTTCCAAATCAGAAATTACTAAGGACATGTAAAAACTCTAAGCTGCTTCAAGTTTTTTGTGGGTCAAAATGAAACACTGCATGCATATATCTATACTTACATACAAACAGTACATATATATGACATATACACATATGATATACACACATAGATACATACATACATATGTTGTGGTGTGGGATTTTAACAGTGCCATATGTACAGGAGTTAAGAATATATACTTTGTAATCCCACAAACCTCATTTTGAACCAGGCTCCACCAATTATTAGCTGCTTGATTTTGAACAAGCCATGAGATAAGTATATAAACACTACACCTAACCTAGAGTAAGAGCATGTGCAACTCAAACTGTCAGCATTATCACTACATAGTGGGAGAGCCAGAGCCAATGCTGCAAAAGCCAGGAACCTTGGTCTCATGATATGAGTGCAGTTCGTCATGCTTACGCGTGAAAATATGAAAAATAAGGTTAGAGATGTGTATGGCATCTCACTACCATCTATAAATACTTTGAGAAAATTCACAGAATGAAAACAACAGAGGATTGGCCCAAGCACGCAGAACCCCTTCTCCGCTTTTTACTCGTAAATCCCTGATCATCAATTGTTGGGAAAGAAAGACTCCTCGGGGGAGAAGATGTGTAGAAAGAGTACTTATTTGACCTCAGTGGCCTGTGTTTTGCAACCTCAGGGAGTGCTAGAGATGTCTGGGGATTTGCTGTTTTTGGAAGGGGACAGTCTAGTAATTTGAATCTGGATACTGGGAGCGCCTGAGTTCTAATATCAGACTGGCCAGTGATTCCACCAGAGGCACTTGACGGGTACTCACATTCTGTGCTTGAGATTCCAGTAAACTGGGAACAGCCGTTTCTCCGGCCTTGGAGGTCTTCCATCCCAGATCTCCCAAAGGATTGGAGACAAAACTTCTTGGAAGCAGCCCATAGTGTTGAATAAGGTAGAAGGTGTGGAGGGTGCTAAATGTGGTACTTACCTTGGGATTGAGTGGGTGTGAGACACCAGTATCTGGTTCTTTCTGTTTGAGGCACAGTCCATACTGCCTTCTCAAGGAAAGTAATTTTTTTTATGCCTTATAGAAGTCAAATACCTAGACATGACATTCAGCGGTCAACATTCCATATATTCCTGAATGTCTGAATTCCCCTGATGGTCTAGTTACCCCAATTGGTTTAGTGTTGTTTCAATGAAGCGACAAGTTTAATCACCTTTGACTGGAGGATGGTAACATTTTCTTAGGTTTGGCTCATTGGAAGCCCCTCAACCTGGCTCAGCTCTGCACCCAGACCCTCCATCAGGGTTCTGCCCTTCACAGTCACCCGAGGTGCCCAAGAGGCTAAATTGAATTTGTGCATTGGAGGATTCCCTGATTAAATCTGAACTTCAACTTTACTGAGTCTTACTTCCTACAGTGATTCTAGGATACCTGAAGACCCTCTCTTCAACAGGAAACAAAATCTTTTACTTGACAATCAAAAGTAAGGTTTAGAGTGCAAGTAAATTTAAAAGAAGTGGAATGACACTAAAACCTTACTAAATAACAGTCTTCAAAAAGGAAACGGTGGTGAGAACCCCAAGTCTGTAGAAGGAAACCGGTAAATATTTCCTATTGATCGAAAGTTTAATCATTTGTTGTATGAAAGTAGAAAGAATCTTGAGAAACACCTAATTTATTTTAATACATTCTAGAAAGGCAACATCAATAACAATGCCTTTTATTTGTCCCATGTTTTAGAGTTCACAAAGCATTCCACGTACATCATCTTACTTGATTTTTACAACTGTTTTGAGGAGCAGGTCAGGGAATGTGTTAATTATCGGCACTCTATAGATAGGGAAAGCAATCTTTTTTTTTTTTTTTTAATTTTTTTTCAACGTTTATTTATTTATTTTTGGGACAGAGAGAGACAGAGCATGAACGAGGGAGGGGCAGAGAGAGAGGGAGACACAGAATCAGAAACAGGCTCCAGGCTCTGAGCCATCGGCCCAGAGCCTGACGCGGGGCTCGAACTCACGGACCCCGCGAGATCGTGACCTGGCTGAAGTCGACCGCTTAACCGACTGCGCCACCCAGGCGCCCCATAGATAGGGAAAGCAATCTTACAGTTAACTGAGGTAGTCAATACCAGAGCTAGGACTCAACGGGAAACTCCCGACTCCAAATCCCAAACTCTCACCACCCCATCATTTTTAGTTCAGATTAGGAGGGCCTTGTTCATAATAGCCAAAAAGCGGAAACAATCTGAATGTCCATAAACTGGTGGACGAATAAACACAGCATGGTTTACTATTTAGCAACACGCTACAACATGGATGAACCTGAAAAGCATCACATTAGGTGAAAGAAATCTGACACAAAAGAATACTATTGTATGAGTTCATGTATATAAAATGTCAAATATACAAAACAAATATATTGAGACAGAAAACAGATCAGTGGTTGCCTGGGGTTGGGTGTGGGAACAAAAGTTGACTGAGTGGGATCTCTGTGGGGCACCGGAAATGGTCTAACTTTACAATTTGGTGAATGTACTGAAAATAATCACTGAGCTTCACACTGACAGTGAGTGAATTTTATGGTATATAAATTAATCTGAATAAATTGCTTTAAAAAAACAGGAGGTGCCTGCCTCTCACTGACAGGTGATGCCATGTTTACAGCTTCACTGAGATAGCTCAGCTAAACAATGGAATCATCTGGCTCCGAGAAAAGCACTTGGTTCTTGTGCTCGGGGCACATGATTTATTAGTTTTGCTCTGCTGATAAGACCATTAGAAGCAGATGACACAGCATTCAAGGGCAGCGCCATGTTCACTGCCTTCACCAGTCTTACTGGCTCTCAACCCAGGCAAACATAGCCTTTCTGCCAACGTCTGACACTTTCATGCTTGTTGTAATATAGCTTTCCCACTTCTTGTTGTTGTTGTTGTTGTTGTTGTTGTTGTTGCTATTTATAAAACATACAGAAACGTACAGATTGGAGAGCTCAAAAAATGAAGATTTCCTGTGCTATTAAGGGTATGAATTGGCAAAGAATCAGGTTACCAGTGGGTTGGGGCTTTTGTAACATCCTTGAAAACTAGCTCCGATTCTCTGGGGATGGGGGTGGGGGTGCAGTGAAAAGGAAAACAAGGAGGGGGGGTGGCATTTGGAAATGAGTGCCTGGGGAAAATGAGAGAAGGCAAACATTCAAAAGGCTCTGAATCTCACGAACACAGACTAATCATGGAAGTAAAAGTCAGTGAGGAACTGCGAGTCTGTGTGAGAAGACAGTGCCTTTGATTTTCATGAGAAAATTGCAAAAAAAAAAAAGCTCAGTAACCAGATTATTGGGTACCATTATTGGGTACACCGAGTTTCTATATTCCTCTACTTTCACACTGAATTTACCTTTCTGGCCCCTTTTCATAGCAGGGGGTCAATTTTTTTCTGCCACTTCCCTGCAGGACTTGGAGTTTTCTAAAGTGACATCTGTCACGCACCTGAGTGGAGAGCCATCCCAAGGAAAAGATCCACGTATTGGGAGCTGACCTTTCACATTATTCTTCCCGATACCACAGTGAGCAAATCTGTCCAAAATGGTAATATCAACCTTCAAGGTTACAAATATCTAGCTGCTGAAATGAATGGAAGAGTCAGCCCTTCCAGATACCCCAAGCAAATTCCCTTTATTAGAACTTCATACAATACACATCAACTCTGTTCTTGTTGCCCAAGTAGAATTCCATACTCACGATCTGCCGTATAAAACGAAAGACCTGACTGATGAAGTTCAGCTATTCATTCCTCACTTGGGAGGTTTTTTTCTGGAAATCTTTTTTTTTTTTTTTTGTCTTTATCGTTTTAACATTATCAGTGTGTCTTTCTATTTGCTTGCATAGAACTCATTTTTACATGTTTGAATTAGTTCAACAAATGAAAATCGAACCTACTCTACATAAGGCGAAGCATCAGATGCTCTATTAAAAATTTCTTTCATCCATCTGTCTTTTGTTTCAGTACATTTTGAAATGACAAACGAGTAAATCTCAAAATGAGAAGCAGCTTGGACTTCTGATACATAACTACAATTATCACT